AGTGGTTAGATATATGAAAATAGAGTTGGAAATGGATTGAGTGAGGCTGTGATTTAAACCTCGTGCAAATAATTCAGAAGAGCAATAAGCCAACTAGCATGGGCTATAATTTTAGAGGATGTATTCATTTGAAGAATATGGAAAAGTGTGTTGCGAGAGATAAAAGAGCTAACGGAATGTTTTTACAGCACTGAGGAGACTTGTAGGCACCAACAGGAAAGCTCTCCTTCTGAGCTGGGAGAAAAGGAAGAGAGGATTGGTTAAACAACAGAACATTGTACAGTATAAAGGGGTTAGTTGGACAGGTGGATGATAATAGTGTTGGGAAGGAGTGGTTATCTGCTGTGAGAGGAGTTGGTAGATATAGTTTAGAATGGCCAGGAGCTGGTTATACAAGAGAAAAGGGACTACTGGTCAGCAATAAAGAGCCACTGAAGTTAGACATTCTAAATACATCAAGAAAAGAGTAATTATGATGCTTTCATAAATTTTTCTCGTAATACTCAGAGCCTTGAACTGTGGGCAGTAAGAAGAGTTGGAAAGACAGATTCACATTGGTGGTTGGCATAGAAAACATGGTGCTGGATTAAAGGGACATGGATTTGTGAAATATGAAAATGGGTCCTGACTGAGGATAGCAATAGCTGAGGCAGGACGGTGCTGATATCCTTAGAAAGCAGAGGGCAGGCATAACTCTTTAGTTATGTTTAAGGTTCACGAGGGACAAAGGAGATTCTAAGAGAGGATACGGAAGTTGTGATTAGAAGTAGGAGTTGAAACATATTGAACTTGGCAGTGGAGTTGGTCCAGATAGTGAAGTTAAGATGTGGCTGAGCAGGAAGTCAGACCTCAGAAATCAAGAAGGCTGAGCTCAGAGGTTTGGATGTTTTATGAGCAGGATCTTGAGACATCCAATATAATGACAGGCTAAAAGACAAAGACCAAGGAGAAGAAATGGCTGAAGAATGGGTTAGTGTCTTATAAGCAATAGAGATGGAGATTGGACCATCAGCTGATAGTGTTTCAAAGATCATCAGCCATGTTTCTCATGTTGGGGCAAGGAGGAAATTCTACATCCATGAGTGAAGTCATATTGTGGGTTTTGATTGCTTTTCCTGTCATTTCAGAGAAGGTCTGAAGTAAAGAATGCAATATAATGAAGAAAAATCTCTGTAGATAAAAGCCTAACAGATTGCATTTTTACAAAGATTCTATAGAAGTAGTCATTAAATACAACTCTGAATATTGGAGTGATTAACCAACACTTCTAGTCACATGATGTTACTACAACTGAAGGTATAGCTGGTAGCAGATTTTGTGCGAAGATGTACTGAAGAATTGGTGTTTTAAAAATTAGTGCTTCATTTAGGAAGTAGAATATTTTAAGTACATACTGGGGAAGTGTAAAGAAGTTCTGTAATTCATTATAAAGACATTTAATCATTTTATTTTTTTCAGTGATAAATTTTGGCTTATTATATATTAACTGAATTTGACCAAAACCTAAGTATATTTTGACCACAACAATGACTAACATAGAAAAAAGCACAAGAAGATGAAAGAAGACACTTAACAGTTTAAACAAATGTTCTAGTTTCCAAAGATTTACCATACTTAGTAAGATGAACATATCCTCTGGCTATTTGCAGAAAAAGAGCCCAAAGGTACATCAAATTTTTTTTTTTTTTTAGAAATGGGACTTTTAGCTTTTTATTAACTTTAAGTATTGCTTGTTGTTTGTTTAAAAAACTCTGCTAAAGCCAACTAAAAATGTACAATTTTAATACAACAAAAAGGTGACTCAGAGAAAGTAATAGGAAATATTTGTTTCAGAAACTTTTAAGGGTATAAGTTATCCTGTCTCATACTTCTTGCTGGAAAAAACATCTTCCATGATGCAGCATTTTCCAAGATGGTGATTGATACCTGCCATCACGTGGCTATGCCAGAACAGCCTTTTAAGGACACAAATACTGGAAATAATTGAATAGCTCTTTATAATAGCCTTAGTTAAATGCTTAGTACTTAGTTAGGATATGGTATTGACTAGTGACATAGGTTTTTTAAAGTACATCTTTATTGGAAATGTTAGAATTTTTCCCCACAGAATGCAGCACTTCAATGATTTTGATTAGGTATGTCTTAGATGAAATGTCCTGGTAGAAAGATTCTGAGACTGTCCGCAGTGCAAAGAGGGGTTTCTAAGCCATATAAACTCTGTGGGAAGGTCTCTTCTGTTTCCATGCCACCGTAGAACCTCTCTTATTTGACCTCAGATCACAGCTGACTTGGCTGAGCAGACTTCAAAATTAATTAAACAAATACTAACGTACCAAGAGAATACTCTTGGGAAGCATGAAATGCTCAAATGAGGCCTTCTGGAAGAGATCTTGGTCACTTTTTCTTTGTTATTTGTATTGAAATACTGAGCTTGACTTTCTTGTGTCCAGGCCGTTGGACTTGACATTTCCTCTCCCTGAGTCCCTGGAACCATACTCTATCCCTCAATCCTCCCTTCTCCATATCCTCCCTCTTGTTTCTTTTCTTCAGCCCCAGGGGTATTTGTTTCTCCTGATGTCACTACAGACTTCTTTTGCATTTGTAATTTCCTCTGCCTTGAACATCCTGATCCATGTCTTCTCATTGGCTGCATCTTATCATTCAGACTTTACCCTATGCATCTCCCCCAGGGGCCTGCATTTCACATACAGCCTAAATTAGTCCCTTTAGTTTTTATATGTTGTGACAGAAATACTTGTGCATGCAGCTTGCATTCTGCTAGGGAAAAACAGACATTAAACAAATTATTTCTCATGGTGCTAAGTACTAAAAGAAAAACAATGCAGCTGGTAGATGTTGCCATTTATTGAATTGAAGATGGGGGAAGAAATATTTAAACTTTGAATACATTTTGCTGCCTACTGGATATCTAAGTAGCCCTGTCTAGGGAGCAGCTGGATATGTGGATCCGGAGTTCAGGGCAGCAGATGGTATGAGAGATGAAAATTTAGAAGTTGACAACATGTAGAGGGTATTTAAAGCTATGGGAATGTATGAAATCACCCAGTGTGTAGACAGAAGAGAAAAGGTGAGACGATTGAGCCCTGGATGCATTGAGTTCAGAGTTTGGTCAGATGAGGTAAAATAAAGGAGATTTAGATCAGTAGGAGAACCCGGAGAAAGCTGTTTGGACAGCTTATTCAATGTCCCATTTATTCACTTGGCTATAGTAGGGATGTAGGACAATAATAAATAGAAACTTAAAGGATGTGGACCCAGTGTCTGCAGAGTTCTTCAGAAAAGAGGGTCTAAATTATCTGATCCACTCTATATTACTC